ATTTTAGGTTTTAATATTAAATCATATCATTATTTGAGTATTCATTTAATTTCAAACCAATTTCAACACTAATAACACTAATCAACAAAATCTCAAAACTAAACAAAAACAACTATTGCTTAAAGTTATTGATAGGATAGTGATCTTTATAGACATCTAAATGCTTCCTCAACTCCAACACCTGTTCCGATAAGTTGTCGGGCATTTGGTCGTAAACGTCGGTAAACATCTCCAGCCAATTGGGTTTCAGCTGTTTCTCGGCGCTCGTGAAGGCAGACATCACCTGTCGTTTGGCCTCTTCTTTCCACTCCTTCTCCATGTCTTCGTTCCACCAGTCCTTGGATTCCATGTATTTGCGGGTCCGAGAGATCGGGTGATCTCTTTGGTGCCACACTTTCACCTCATCCACCGATCGATAGGCTGACGAGTCGTCTGATGTCGAGTGGTGTCCGATTCGGTAAGTCATGGCCTCAATGAGGACGGGTCGCGACTCTTCGGCGCATATTCTACGGCCCTCTCGAGTGGCGTTATAGACGGCCAACACGTCGTTGCCGTCCACTCGTATCGATGGGATCCCAAACGCCGGCCCTCTCGCCGCTATACCACAGCATAGGGATAATGTTTACAGCATTTAATTAACCACAACATGACATAAACATGACATACCGATGCCATCGCCCCGGTATTGCTCGTGCGTTGGCGTCGATATGGCGTAACCGTTATTACGGCTGCAAAACAATAATCATGTGTTAGAAAATGGTTTTACAATTTTAGACATAATCTCGTAGTTTATATTCACCAGAAAAATATGATGGGCGCCGAGAGAGTGGCCGCAAAGTTAAGGGCCGCCTGAGCGTCGCCCTCAGAGGCGGCCCCTTCGCCGAAGTAACAAATAACACACCGGCCTTTGGCCTCGCGTTTCAGCGCAAAGGCTGCGCCCACGGCCTGAGGCATCTGAGTGGCCAACGGAGACGATATCGACACGAAATGGTGTTCACGACTGCCGTAATGGACGGGCATTTGGCGGCCTTTTTCCAGATCGTCGACATTACCATAACATTGAGCCATAAATTTCTCTAATTTGAATCCTCTCCACATTAACACACCTAAACATTTGGGAAATGACATCGCGTTTAGATAGTCATCAAATGGCCAATAAGTGGGTCACATGTGAGACCTGCTTCCCTATACTGGCCAAAGACCAGATCGTCGTCGTTGATGGCGGCGGCGGAACCGAAATGAGTGCCCTCTTCGCCATAGTTTGTCATATAGAAGGAGATCCGTCCCTGTCTTTGGCTCTCGTATAACACTCTGTCCATAGAGTTCAAGATTGTCATCCCTGGCCATCACGCGTGGTATAGATAATCAATTCAAGAGTACAACCAATCCATTAGTATATATGGAGACAACACTTTGAACTATAAAAACCTTTATATATTTTAGTGACCATCTCTTGGCTGAGATTGGGGTCCTCTTTGGCGTTGATGACCACACCGTTGCGGTTCAATACCCGATAGACTGGAATGCCGTCGAACTGTTCCGGAAGAATGTATTGCAAAGTTTGTGTCCATTTAGACCGAGAGCCGGGAAACTCCGGGACGTCGTCCACAATATTACTAGAAGTAGAGGTAGTATTGGTTGGATTAGTGATGGCGGCCAACGGTTCCAGAGGTGACGCTTCTGGCGTTGAATGCAGACATCTCTTCGACTGATGATTAGATCTAAGCCACGGATTAGCGTATGTTTTGTACGGATTCTGACATTTAATGAGTGTTTTATTCAACAAAAACTCATTCAATAAAAACTTTTGGTTCAAAATAAAAAACTTTTTGACAAACATTTTGTGAGAAATACTTTTCGAAAAAGAGTTAACACTTTTGGAAATGTTTTCACTAAAAAATTTCACTTAAATTTTTCATATCTTAAAATATTTTTAATATCTTTTTTGTATTGAAGTCTAGATTTTTAGAGGAAATATAGCGTAAAATGAATGAATGAAATAAATTATGATCTAATGATGGCTTCAATAGTGAACACCAACTGATATATCAATTAACAGCAGTCACTGTGTATTCAATTGGAAATATTATGTAATAATTATTTTATTAATTTCTATGAAAACCAATCGAAACACAAGTTTTATGCGAGTAATGAATGGCAACACAAACGATAAAAATATGTGTAATTTAGGGGTAAATTGCATCGAGTTTTACAAATATTATGAAAGTTTTGTTGTTTTGTTTTTTGATAAAACTTGCGTTGAATTCACTTTACTTTTCAAAGACAACACAATTTTGTTTTATTTAATTTGTGTGTCAATCAAATCACTACTCCATCTATACTTATACCACAAACCCATATAAGCGCTAACTTTTAAAACAATTGCTTACTAAACAGTTATTTAGTTTGATATTGGTTGAAATTCTTTAATATTTTATTAACTATGTATTTAATTGTATTATTACTTTTAAATATATTATATTAACATTTAATTAATGGTGTTTTCATTGTTTATATAAGTAATTAATTATAAGATATATTATATTTTTTGAAAAGCCCTCAAAATGATTGCTAACGCTATTGATTAGAAGTATAGATAATAGCCCAAGGACATTTTCATTTATGCATTGATTTTATTTGTGTGTTTAAAAATGTTTTTGCAATAAAATATTGTTGAAATGATATATTATTCATATATAATTGTATGTGAAGTTGTATTTCATATGCAGTATATTATGTGATATAATCGTTAGGCGTATAAATATCTGTAATGCGTTTGTATAGAGAAATTGAATCAAAAATTGTTTCGCGAATTTATTTTTCTAGAAATAAATTGCTGTTAAAATTAAGTGTAATATTAAAATACCGTTAAATTCTATGAATTTATAAATTAATACATTTAGACATTTGGCTAATAGTTAGCGTATAATATATAACATGAGAGTAGAAAAATATCGGCAAAATATGATTCTCATATGATTTGACACATCCGTTGATTTGGTGGACACAACACCACACGAACCGCTTCTTTGAAAACCTGACAAACACAACAAAATTACAAAATTAGCGATTAATTGCAAAAATGAAAACAAATATTTAATAAATACATCGTTAACTCCGGACAAAGTCATAGCCGAGCACTCGATATATTTGTTTGCGTTGATCTTTTTGGCCATCTTTTTGCCCATCGCTCTCGTGATGAATGGCTTACCGTTGAGGCCATTGGTCTTCTCCTCTCCGTTCAGATCATTTGTCACACTTTTGTTGAGTCTCTCTGAATATCTGAGATCTGTTTTAGTGCCGACCAGAATGTACGGCGTCTTCGGACAGTGGTGTCGGATCTCTGGCTGCCATTTGGCGATCATATTCTCGTACGAATGTATGTTATCAATGCTATAACACAACAGAAATACGTCCGCCTATAACATAGTGGTTGACATGATTTTAAAGTTAACAATTTTAGTAAAAATTATTTCAAATGATTACATACCCCGGGATAAGAGAGGGGTCGGAGTCGCTCGTAGTCTTCCTGTCCGGCCGTATCCCATAGCGTGAGGTTAACGTCGACCCCATCGCAGGTCATACTCTCCGCATAATTCTCGAAACTGTTTGAAGAATATTCTTATTAATTGTTTCCTTTATTTTTTGTTATAATAATAAACAAAGAATTTATTTAACAAATAAACAAATCCTTTGACAGGAATTGTATGGTATTGTAAAATATTTTATACAAACTTTTAAAATAAATATTAATAAACAAAATATATTAAACATAAATGAAAAAGACATACACTGTTGGTATGTATTCACCGCTCGGAAACTTTCCGGTCGTATAGCTTATCAATAAACAGGTCTTCCCTACCGTTCCTAATAGAGTGAGACAATGAAAAGCCATATTTAGAAATCTGACACCACTTTTATATAACAATAATCTGCTTATTGGCAAACATTTTACTTCATTTAGCAATATATGAAAATCAATTAAATCAATGAATACATACCGTCGCCGACAACAACCACTTTGATTGGGCGACTGTTTCCGATATTTTGCGTAACGGTTGTCATTATTTTAAGTTAATTTGTTTCTTGTATATAAACACATACAACACGACAGTTATCTGTATTCACAACCAAATTGTGACAAACATTAAAACATGATATAAATGATGCGATGATTAGTTGAGAAATTGATATTCACTACTCCTATGAGAGATACCAGTGATTGAGAAGTGTTTGAGAAGTATATTATTCACTGTATGTGTAAAATGAGTTCAAAAACACGATTCTTTAATATGAATGAAGAAACTTATTTCACAGACAAATACTGTATCACTCGTAGTAATGACGGGCTTTCAAATCCCATTACACTTTCACTGATATTCAAATGAAACACTTATGTAAGACTGAGACTGACGTTACATTTAACGCAAACATTTTTTTGTGTCAGAAATTTGTTTCATAGACTAATAATAATACAATTCATATATAATAAGTATGACTTCCTTTTTCCAAACTCCCAGTCCTCGCACTCTCTTTCTCTCTTCCCGTTTGTAAAGTATTTCAATAATAATAATAACAATTAATTAATTTCTATATAAATATATATAATCATTGAGAGCACAAAAGAGTCCTAACATTCACTTTATAGCACAATATTCTCACTGTTTATCGAAAGGAAGCGTTGAATCACTTGAGAGTAAGAAAATTATTCGCAGACTTTATGACAACAAGTATAATCATTGAGAGCACAAAAGAGTCCTAACATTCACTTTATAGCACAATATTCTTACTGTTTATCGAAAGGAAGCGTTGAATCACTTGAGAGTAAGAAAATTATTCGCAGACTTTATGACAACAAGTATTTCACGGATTGAATGCAAAAAATCTCTGATTATCACTAGTTTTAATGCTATATATACTTGCGATATATGGTATAATACAAGCAATTTATTATATATTTCTTATTTTTCTATCTGAAGTGTGTGTCTGTATAACTGTTTAAAGGCTTCATTCAGTATAAACTTTACATAACTGTATGGGTTATAGAGTGGGAGCAATAATAGCGAGCATTCAATTATGGGATGGGATAGGAGTTTGCAATTTGAGTGATATTTTATGGTAAAGTGTGTTTATCTAACGGCTTGTACTGTACTGTATATATTCAGTGGTGAATATAATCTATATTTTATTATCTCATTTTTCATGCAAACCGATGGTTAATAACCCTCAATATTAATCACTTATAGGAAGTAATGAATAACGAATTGCTATTTTTCTTATAATTATGCATTCAATTCATACAATTTGTTTACAATTTGATGCAATTATTATCAATAAAAGTTTGACAGTTTAGTTGTTTTGCTAAATGAAATCAAATTGTAACCATAATTATAGGCAATAGTATTGTTATTTAAATAGTTGACTGACAGACAGATAGCTATTAAACATAACACACATATAAATGTTCAAATGTTTTCATTAATATTTTATTTATTTTATTATTCTTGTCTTTTTTAAGGCATTAATAATGAAATGTTTGGTTGTTTTATAATAACATGTAACTTAAATAGAGTGAAATTCATGTTTATAATGGATTTAAATGCAGTTTTGGCCACAATTAGCAACAGTTATAATGAATTGATTACATTTATAAACACACATAAGTGTACCAAACATTTCAAACTAAATATAAGATTAAATGCATTCTTTAATTTAGACTAAAAATAAGTCAAATGTTTTTCGAAATATTATATAAACTTTTCAGTAATTTTTAAAATTTTTCCCATTTTCTAATTTTTTGTTATTTGTTTAAATAAAAACTAATAAAATTACAACAATTTAAATGAATGGCATTTAAAGGCAACCGTGAAATATAACCTTAAACTTGATATTCATTTTAGTGCTCAATATCTTAACGCGATTTCTATGCTATAGCCTATAGAATAACAATCTCCAGAATAATGTACTCTTTTATACTGAATATATGGTTTGTTAGTCATATCCGGGGACCCAATCCTATACTATAAGCCAAACACCACTTCATCGCATCATTTATTAAATAAAATTGATTTTTCTCATTAGAAAACTGCATATTTCACGATAACAGACATCCTTTGAATATATAATTAAATTTAAACTTAATCTCTAAATAAAAACACCCAAAACTCAAAATATAATTGTTTCACAAAACTCTACACCATTTGATGCATGAATTTGTGCGATGGCTTTGTTTGAATGGCAATACAAAATCCAAACCGTTTATTAAATATAATTGGATGTGATTTTTATAGTTAACATTTCTTATCGTTTCAGTCAAACACTAAGACATACCACTCGTCGGAGCGACTAATTTAGAGCACATGTATTTCAATGGGAGTTCTCTGTAAAAAATCGCTCACATTTTGCGCTCCACTTAATTATTTCGTTGGAAAAAACTCATCGAAAAGTAGTCTAAATTTTTGACAAAACAAACAATTGATTATTTGAGTGACACTTTTTGCGGATCAGATTTGGTCTCTTATCTAATGATTGTTTATTATGTAAATCTATTTTTTGTTTTCGTTAATTATTAGTGTGTTATATGCCATCTAATTATAAATACTAATCAGTTTTGTTGTTTTGTGTGCTAAAACAATTTGCAATTAAAAATATTAATTAAAATATAGTGTACTTAATAAGGATATGCCGTATGATTGAGAATTTCAATCAACAGTTTTAATATTGTAACCCAGAAAACAATGAATAACTCATTTTTCATTTCGTTTCGTATTAAGAATAGTAATTGAAACTTATTTTTACAATGAAATTGTTTTGTAATTTATATATGGTTTTAAATTATTGGGAATTTACAGAAAGGCAGTACAGGACACAAGTAGGAGCACGCGTTCACTATAGCGTATAGTGTATGACATTTGATACAAACTTTGTATGAGTCCATAATCCAAGTGCAGTGTCGAGGAGGGGCTAGAATTTGAACATTCAATAACCCACATAAACATCATCATAATTTACTGACTGTTTTGACGCCGAGGGCACATCTACATGGTGAATTCCATTTGCTAGAATGTTAATTCAGTGTCTGTTTTTAATTGAATTATTTTTAAAAGCAATTATTATTTCAACAATACAAGTGTTATTATATAATAGATATATGAATGCATACATTTGAATGACTTTGTATAGCAATCAATTGTAAGACATTTTCTGTACGATAACTCCCATATGCAGTGCATTTGACACACTAATGAATTTGTGTATTTTCCCAAAATGTTACATAAAATGTATTGTTAATAATACATAAGAAAATACACACAAAAAATATTTTTAAGCCATTTGTGTGATATATGCACTGAAAAGACACTGTAATCTCAGTGAAGCGACCAGTTTTTCAATACAATATTTCTTACAATATATTTCTATCGCTATCTCTGACGTCGACTCCGAAAACTTTGTTTTCTTTATTCATTGCATTGTTTTTCTATTATTACGACTTTTTTCTCTAAATGAGAGACAATACCTGATGTCATGCCTTAAGATTTTAGTGCACAAACTTTTCTCTACATATTTCACAGTTTTGTATACGAATACTGCTGTTGGAGATCACGACCTGATTTTTAAGCCCTCAGTCGAGTAGTCTTCAAGTCATAGCCATATCCTATTCGTGTCTCTCAATGTAGTCCTCAATGCGAACAATAAATATAAGTTATAATCTTTGACCACATTTTGTGCACTGTTTGCAAAAAACACAAAAACTGACCAAAATCTTGGGCATAGCGTCAGGTATTGGATGCAAGTACTGGAGTCCAAAAACCTGATACTAAACGCATTGCATAACGTCTTGTAATATCGTATATGTAAGACATTAGGCATTAAGTGTTGGTTTTTGCGAATTTCAACGTCTAATGCAAAAGCATTTCACGTTTCCAGCAATTGGTGTCAAGAATTTCTGTGAATTTAACGTTAGATGAAAAGCGAGTATTTGTTTTTTATCAGTGGAAGTGCTCTGAACTTATAATTAACAAAACAAATAAACGTTAATATTATAAACAATTATCAGCGCAAAGAAGCGAAGGCCACGACAATCGGGGGAAACCGATGCCTATAGTGGACAGCCTTGAAAACCAAAATCACTGTTAATACCCATCTCTTCATTGAAAACCCACCGATTCATCGATACTGTAATTATCGTAATATAATTACCGTTTAATTCATATATAAATATCGCCACAAATATCAGGTAAAACTTATTGAAAAACTATTTGCAAAACTTTTTTTTATCCATCAGTAGATAATTATTCTGTTATTGCAATTGATATTCAAATTTAGTTTTGCAATATAAGCGATGCATTGGTTACGAGAGATCCTCTTATTATTGCTCATTACATGCAATACTATTTACGCCAATAAATCGTTCGTCGATTCCGATGCCGAAGACATCGAGGAAGAGGTCGAAGACAAACCGATCGACTGTTTTGTGTCTAATAGTGATCAACAATTGGCCGACAATAATAAAATCTCGACATTGAGCCCAACGGAGTTGTCTCGAGTGCTGATCGAAGGCTCCCATTCCTTCGCCTTTGATTTGCTGAAAGCGTTGCATAAGTTTCAGCCCAAAGACAACACTTCCAGCGGACTGTTGTTGAGTCCGTCGTCCATCTGGTCAACGCTTATCATCACTTATATGGCCGCCAATGGAGAAACGGAAACTGAGCTCAAGAATAAGCTGCGGCTAAACACCATCTCGAAGTCGTCGGTGGGTTTGGCTTATCAGGGGTTAAGGCTGTGGAACGATCTGAAGAAGAATATGACCAAAATATCTGATTCCGGGTCTGAAAAGGCGATCGTTTCGCAGGCGAACAGAATATTCATCAATAATGAGCTCCAACTGAACCACTGTTTTGCCGAATACTTCGACGCAGACGTCAAGCAAATGAATTTCAGTACAAATCCGCGCCAATCCATGGATCAGATCAACAATTGGGTGTCGGAGCAGACAAACGGCAAGATCACTGATCTCATACCCAACGGTGCGATCAATCCGTGGACTAAAATGATTATCGCGAACGCCGTCTACTTTCAGGCCAAATGGTTGAATCAGTTCCAGAAAGACATCACCAAAAATCAAACGTTTTTCATGTCACCCACCGATGAGGTTCAGGTGCCTATGATGTCCACCGAAGCGACAGTAATGTACGGCATATCGGAGCGATTGCAGGCAACCGCCATAGACCTGCCCTACGCTAACCCGGACTACTCGATGGTCATCATTCTGCCCGATGTGGGCAAAGGACTGGATTCGCTCATCGGTTCCATAAGTCCGGCCGATCTGTACGAACTCGTGGCCAATATGTACGACGACGAGGTGTCCATTCAAATGCCCAAATTCAAAGTGGAGCAGCAGTTCGAGTTGGCCGGACCGCTCTACTCCATCGGCATCCGCAAGCTATTCGACCCCCGATTCGCCGACTTGTCCGCACTGTTCGCCGCCAACACCAGTGCCGACACCAATAGCACCAGTAGTGGCAACAGTCGTAGCGGTGATAACGGCTTTGCGCTCAATTCGGTGGTTCACAAGTCGTACATCACTGTCGACGAAGAGGGCACCGAAGCGGCCGCCGCCACAGCCATGATCTACGGCCGGTCGGGACCGGGCCACAAGTGGTGAGTCAAGCACCGGTTAGCCGGGAAAGAGATGAACTAGGCTCTGCACCGGTGGTTAAAGTATGAGAAGTACCCTTGTCACGCTGCTGGGCACGTTATCAGCTAATTTCGGCGAGACAATCATATCATACGATAACTTAAATTTTGTAATTCACGTCAATTTGTAAATATTAATAGACATTAAATAAGAAGCAATTCTTATATTCTGAGAAAAGTCTAACACTTTTAATACATAAAAAAATCAATCATTGAGTGGTTAAGAGAAAAGAGTTAAACATAAAGAGTACTGTTTAGAAGAGGACAAAGAAAATGTTAATTTAATTGTTATATTCCTATCGATATCACAGATCTGTACAGTTATTCAAAAGACGAATGTTTTGTATTTTTAGCGACAAATAAGTGTTGTTTTCATTCATTCATTCAATTTATTATTAAATAAAAAACGGTTTCGGAAATTAAAAAACAAATAATTTTTGCATAAATAATAATAAACTGACATTTTCTTAAGAAACAGAGAGCTTACGAATAAAACAAAAAAATATAATAAACTGAAAAACTAATTAATTTTTACGTAATTGTCTTTTTATTTTATTTCTAATTAAGTTATGTTTTATCAGATTTAAAACCTTTGTTAATTTGTTTTGTATGTTAATTATCATTTCTCTTCAACCTCAATTACTTTTGTGTTAAAATTGGCTTACTCTATTGAGGTTTCAAATCATAATTAGGTTTCAGTAGAGAATTAATTTCAAAATAATTATTAACTTATTTATAATATATATTACATTGTATTTTAAAAACTCTTCACTTTTTACGCGAACAAAAAATGAAGTATTAGATCGAAAATGTATTAATCAATTAAAATATCAATAAAAAACGATTCAATCAATCATTTTGTTTGGCTCTAAACAGACTGATATGCGAGACGACGGCTACGTCTTCGGCCAATGAAATAGGCAATCAATACGATCACTACGAGTCCGGCTAACGCCGCGCCAACAGCTATGGGCACAACATCACTGATTTCCGACGATTTGCAGTCAATTTCTAGATTAAACACACAATTAAATTACATGTAAATGCAAATAAACAATAGATTAATACCCGAATCCCATTCGCCTTTCTTCGCGTCCTCGATATAGGCCTCCACTTTAGACTTTAAGAAATCAATTTGAATGTCAATAATACCACTCGTCGAGTGCGACAGCTGTACGGACTGAGCGGCCGAACACGTGTACGAGTGGACTGAGGCCACACTGAATAGATCGGAGGTCGGGTTCGACGCCTTCACAGTCGTATCTATCAATTCATTATACATTCAAATTAATAAACCAATTGATAAACACATTCAACACTACATACTGTAGGCCTTCTCGTCGATAAACTGTGGGAACAGCGCTTTGCTTAGGAGGAAAGACAACTCCACGTCCTGTACGAAAACCGTCTTATTATCGGCCGTTCGGTTGAAAGTAAGGGTCAAAGTGGCGGACGTATTGAATTCATTTTTAAAGCTAATGGTCAGCGCTTCCAA